AGGAGCAATTGCTCTTATTAAGCATCTCACCACAGTGCTGGTCTTGCCATCTGCTGTGCCGCTGGGGCTGGCTCATGCATGGGCCCTGCTGGCAGGCTGCAGGGTGGACAGCCAAGGAGCTGCTGGCCCATCACCAGCCCTCCATTAAAGACACCACCTCCTTCTCCCACAAAAACAGGGCAGCTGTTGCTAACTGAGCCATTCAAACCACTGCGCTACTTTAGCACAAAGATATGAACATGTACACACAAAACTCCTCTGATTTGCTGCTAATGTGGTGCAGATGTAACAGTCACCAGGTAGCTCTGGCTTTACCGGCTGGTCTTTTAAAGCTTATCATTTTTCTGACCTGTCAGGCAGCATTTTTAAAGGTACCTGAAGTTCTGCTGATGCCCAGTGTTTCTCCCACTAGAGCTGGAGATGCACACATTCCTTACAATACAAAAGGTTTAATCTCCTTGCAACAAGCAACCGAAGAAACCTTACAGGAACAAGAGATTTTGTCTCCTACATACAGGATACAGGGCATGAACAGGGCAACCATGGTCTAAGGAAGTAGTAAGAGATGGAGCGGAGTTTTGGAACCAGCCTTCACAGCAGCAGCCCGCAGTGACTTACATACGTGCACAAACAAATGCAGCTGGCACCTGGGAGCAGCAGCGTAAGGATGGCTTGTGCTTTGGGCAGCTTGTGTGAACACATCCAACAGCAAAGCACTTACTAAACATAATCATCTTTTGTTGCAGTCAGCTCTGCAGAGGCCAGATTCCTCAATATGATTATGCAAAAACAGTAGAGAGGGCAATGACTTCAACATGGTTGCACGACGATGACACAGCATGAAAATCACATCCCCTGGCCACTTTGTTCTACAGTAACACAAAGTCCTTCCTCCACACTGGGACAGGACAGCCTTTTAGCAGCACAGCCAGATTTCAATGGAAAACACAAGTCAGTTTACAAACAGAAAAAAACTCCACACTTTTACATCTGTACTTACGAAGATAGTTTAGAGCAATTCCACTGTCTACTTCAGAGACCTTACAAGAGCATTTTATGATTTCAAGTCAAACCACATTATGGGGAGGGAAGAAAGGAAAAACAGTTTAATTTCCTCTGCTCATCTGAGTGTGCATCAAATGAGCCCTTCCATAACCTCACAAAAATGTGCAAGATGGAAAATAATTGAGGAGTCATTTAGAATTTATTGACTTGGCCCGGGCATACAGGTAGATAAGAGATCTTGCTGCTAGCATGGCAAGTGGGAAAAATTAAATTAAAGCTGATCAGTAAAAACTGGCAGGCTTACCTTTAAATGGAGCTTAAAAACAAACTAAATCCCTGATCTCTCTTTGAAAAGTAAGCCCTCCAAATCAGCTATGCTTACTTCAAAAGAATTTCTTAAACAAGACTTGGACTCTAAACCATGACTGATGGTAGGCTCAAGAAGGCGCACTGAACAGTTGGGCCTTTGCTCTTTTCTCCGACATTTCAAGGTGACCAGCAAAAGCCTCATTTATAGAAGGACTCAAAATCACCCGCTGACAGAAGTGTTCTGCAACTAGAAGGTTATATATTCACTTGCATTACCTGAAACCCTGTTGCTTCAACGGAAGAGCTTAAAAAAACAAAAGCAATGTATCAGCTCTCAAAGGCTTCAGCAGGTAACATTTATGGTGTACTCCTCCTCTGGACCTGGGGCATTTCTGAACTCTCAAGGGACACGAACCCACACACACCGAGAGATCTCAGGGTGGAGGGGAGGGATGGCACAGGAAAACCCAGACATGCTGCTCTCCAGCTTATGTCTGGAATACATCCTCTGAAACTGGTTGCATGTCAAGAGAAACAAATGAGAACAGCCAGAGTTTTTTATTTTTATTTAATTGTGAATAAACTTGATAGAAGGAGGTGGGGAAGAGGCCTGTGTTGCAATAGGAAGCTCTCTGCCCTACAGCTAGAGAGAAAGCAATCAAATCACTTACAAAAAATACACACAGCAGAGTACAAAAATAGCCCAAAGCTCTTGAAAACTACCAGGCATGACATTTCCTCGCTCTCTCTTGATTAAGGAAGAGGTTTGGGATGCTTCATATGGCACAGAACGTTATTGCAGAAGGCACCACCTCAGCACTCACAGCAAAGCCTGCCCTGGGCTCAGCACTGAGGCACCGACCCCAGCAACCCAACCCAGGTCAGGGGCTCACTGCAGCCTCCCATTCAGTGCTGTTTAACACAGCACAGCATGCACTGTAGTTGGTAATTCAAGTCTTTGGTCAAAAGAAGCAAGGGAAACAAGCGGACCATTTATCCCTAGACTTTGATTTCAGACCTACAGTCATTTATTTGCACACATCAGCCTTCATATGCTCGTTCCTAGCAGCCTCTGAAGCGCAGTGCTCAAAAATCCAACATGGCCAGTGCGAGCCCAGATGCAGACTGAAGAAGAGGCCACTAAAATAAGGAAAAAAGCAATAAACTACAAGGCATGATGTTTCAAGGCATGTAGCAAGGCTCTAAGCAAACACTTCGCTAGTGTTTCAACCAAGTCACAACTGAGAAGCCCATTTATCAACTGGGATGGGATCCCAGAGCGCCCCACGAAACGTTGCACCCCAGCAGAAAAATAATGCTGTGATGGCTGGGTGCCTACGGCTGTGGGACTGGTTAACAATTACAGTAACAATGAAAAAAGCAATTTATACCGCAACACACTGATGTACAGCCAAGCCCCTGTCTAAAGAGATTAAAAGAACAGGCTGACACAGGCAACCGACAAAAATGTCTCCTGCAGAAGGTTTACTAACTAGCTACTCATATTTCTGTGCAATTCCCTTAAAGACAGCACTCTGCATCTCAACCTGTTTCAGATAACAGATCTCCAGTGCACAAATAAGAAGCAACAAGCGCTTAGGAAGTTCTCTGATCTAAAGGAAAAAGAAAGGATACTCCCCATTGCTTAGAAGGCAAAAAGCAGCCCAAAAGATTGCTTTATTTTGTGGGTAAGAGCAGACAAGGAGCCCCCAGGTGACATCTGGAGGATTTCCTGCTGCAGCAGTGGCTTCAGTACAAGAAGACCTCATAGGACCTTAAAGGAAGCACCACGCAGCAATGATGGGAGAGGACAGCTCAACAGAAGCACTGTGTGGCTGGAGAGGAGGGGTCATGGAATCCCACATTGCTGAAGCTACAGCCCCTGGTGCTCTCTGAAATCGATCTGCCGAACAGAAACAAGTTGTATGGAGAGACCATGGGTGGCTCAGGTGAGAAGGAACCCTTCTGGAACAGGCAAAACCCACGTAAGGGATGGGAAAAAAAGGAGCTTCTGAAGAGAAACTCAGATAGTTCACAGGCAGGGCAGATGAACATTTTTACAAACCACAGAGCTTTTAGCTCTGGTTGATTTATTAAATGGGTCGTCCTCTTTTTACTATCACTTCAGGCAACAGTTGAATTATTCAATGAACTCCAGTTGACTATGTTGTTTCTAAAACACTTGGGCCACCTCTGGGAGAGGAAGACAGAAAGCAAAAGGGAATAAAAACACGTTTAAAAGTTAAAGAGTTGAACAGAAGTGGGTCCTATCCCCTTACGGAGTCTCAGAAGCAGAGGGCAGTATTTCTACAAGCTGTCTGCTGAAGGAAGCTGTATCACACAGGCACAGCAATGAGCTGCAGATGTGGAGCTCAGCTACAACATCAGAAAATGAAGATGGGCTTGTCTCCCTATTGCCAGGGCACAGAGATGGCAGCCCTTGTGCTGCTCCAGCAGAGTGGGACACATGGCTTCAGCCCTGGAGATACCAATATGTTTTTGGAAAGAAACCCATATTTTCCCCTGGGAAGCTCTGCACCCCTAACCAAACAGTCAGAATTCCTCCTGCAGTCCCATGGAGTGGTGAGTCAGAGTCCAGAAGTCCAGAACTGTCTTCTGGAGCTCACAAGAATGCAGAACTTCCTCACCAGCCCAGTTCTCACTTGACCTGTGAGAACAAGAACAGAGCCAGGCCTCCAAGTGAGGCAAATATCAAGCCATCAAGCCAATGAAAACATCAATACCCAGAGTACATAATTTCTGATGGGTCACCAATTCCAGGGCTCAGCTTCATTGTTCCTTGAATTGTGAAATTCATAGTGGCATCTGAATTCATGAAAACACTGTGTGATGCTCATGTGATCAGTGGCTGGCTTCCAGATTTCAGCAGTGCAAGCGCTTGGGCAAAGTAGCAGAAGAGTCTTGCAGAGCTTTCCCTGACCTAGCAAAGAAGATGCATCTGCTCCAGAAAAAAAGCAGCTTGCTGGAAGAAAGCCTGTTGGCAGCAGGGAATCCTGTTGTCCTTCGTGCCTACTCAGTAATGAGAGCTAGTTGCAGGAAAACATGAGAATCAACCAGCATTGTCAAGAGAATGGGAAACAAACCAAATTAAAACACACATACAGAAATTAACGTCATCAAAAATGTGGAGGGCCTGGAAACAGCTCACTGAGGCCCCAAACAAATACAGTTCTTCATTATGCTAAGAAACAAAAACCAAACAAAAAAAGCCTCAACACACAAACCATAAACTGTTGATAGTTTACATTCTTATGGCACAGCACACTACCACTGCTCCCCAAGGACAGCCTTGCAAACCATGCATGTATATTTCAAAACCCAAGTTATTTATGGTCTCTTTCCTCTCCAAAGATCACAAGCAGCTTACATGCCTATACATAAGAATGTGAGCAGAACACTCCAACCTGAGCAAGTTATATGATTTTAATACAATTTAATATGATTTTAAACCCGTGCTTAAGTGTAAGGGTTAAAACCCGAATGCACTGTCAGCTAACAAGCCCTGCATGAGGATTTAGTGTTTTAGCACCTGTGAGAGACTACCATACATGAAGACTTCCAGACTTTTCCCAATTCTCAACATCACTGTCCCCAAAAGCATAGTTTATATTTACTCAAAATGAGGAATAAATGAGGAACCAAATCACCTAAATTTCGATACTCACCCTTCCTGAGATTGAGACAGATGCAAGGCAACAGCCAAGCCTGCTGAAAGAGACTGGGTTCAGATGTTTTCCCCTTTCCATTTAGGCTTGACGTAGCAGAGCTGCCCAACAAAGCAGCAAGGACCGACATCTTCAGCCCATCTCATGGAACAAGCCAGGAATTCAAGGCCCCATGTAGGATGACCTCTCAAATAGAAGGATTCTGTTTTATTTCCCCACATAAAAACTACAGCCGTATGCAACTGATGTGACAAAAGAATGCTGAATTTTCAAAACTGCTGATTATTCTGATGAAAGAAAAGCTTCCTATTAAAGTCATCCAATCTTTTTGGGAATCAGAACTGCCTTTAGTCTTAAACTAAATGCTTGAGTTATTTAAAGCCTGCAAACAACTGCAATGCCAAAGGCAGATATCTCAAAGACAACACAGGAAGCATTTCTCAAGAACATGAAAAAATGCTAAGTGATGCTTAACAGAACTGGGAGACATTTAAGACAGGGAAGGGCCCAGACCCCATAACCCGACAGCCAATTGAGTTCCACAGACCTTACCCAACGAACAGCCAGAGTGAGGCACACAAACTGCACACACGGTCCCATTACAGCAGCACACAATGCAGACAACAGCAGTTTTAATGTTGTGATTAAACACACAATACCAGTGCTTCCAAAACAAAGCCCGACAGATGTAAAGGTAGGTGGATTTCTGTGAAACAACGCCATATCCAGTGGGTTACTATGTTTAAGCTGTTTCAACAACTATGTACATATACACAGACATGTCTATAAAACTGGGGAGGCACCATGTATGTCATATTCTCTCAGACACAGAACGTGCACACAGCCATCGACTCGTCCACATCAAACACACCCAACTCAGCAGGACTTGCTTTGTATAGCAGCACACAGAGACTGGCTACTGAATCACATCTCTTTGCCCTGAGGTTAGATGGAGATGTAATGGTTTATATGTGCTGGCATTACTTCCCATGAAATATTCCCATTTCTTTCCACTTTTATTTTTTTTTTTTTAATTAAATCTTGCACCCACTTTATCCCTTCATCCCAATTACTGCACTGTGCTGGGATCCTGATTTGCTTCTTCCTTCTACATCCTACACAGTTTTAAACACAAAAAAATGAAGAATCTTTTCCAGACATCTTTCCATCTTTTCTTCCTCTGTCTCAACCATCTTATTAAAGGCTCTTCCAAGCCTTTCCTCTGGCAGCCATTTACGAGTTGTACAGATTAAGCCTTCCATTTCCAGCAAACCTAGGCTCTCTCATTACTGCAAAAATAGCACTGATGCAGACGTTTCAAAATGCTTTTTAGTTTGTGTGCACTCACTGGGATGACTGTGAACAGCACAAGAATCACGCATTGCAAAGATTTCAAAAAGATGCTTTAATGGCCTCTGTGTGAAAGAATAGTTGGAGTTTCTGAATCACTTAACGAAAACAGGCAATTCTACTTCTTATTTTTCACTAAGAATAGAATGGTTTGAACTGGAAGGGACTTTCTGTTATGTTCCAGTAAAGCTGCTTCACTGTAACCATGCATATTGCACAATGCCAATGTTCAGGCTCTGGTGTCATCAGGAAATTCCCGCTCGGGTAACTTCCATTCAGTCCCAGCCAAGAGCACTGCAGTGCACTTTGTGCTCACACCCCACTGCCCAGAGAGCAGTGCCCTAAGCAGCCCAACAGCCAACAAAGTTTATTACATACACCAAAAATCCAACATTAAGGACGCATCTTCGAAATAATCTGGAATATCACCACAGGGAGAAAATTACTGACCAAATCCACTTGTTTTCCCTCAAATTAAGTACACAAAAATGACAGATTATGCAACAGGAAGAAAACGGATCATGTAAAATAAATAATGCCTTCTGTTTGCAACAAGCTGAGAGCATTTGTTAAGAATTTCCCACTCTCCCTCCCTTCTCTTACTTTTAAAATACAGCTCTACTTAGCTAAGACTTTCAGAAACGTGACCCCTCCCACAGCTCCAGAGCATCCCCCAATAATTAAACTGCACAGCACCAGGCAAGCCTCCTGTTTCATGTGGGGTGCCATCAGGTTTTTGGTAGCAAAGAGCATAGGGGGCAAGAATCTACCCAAGCTGCAAAACCTCTCTGATGGTTCCCCCTCTACCAAGCAGTTCCCTCAGTAAGTCACATACGGTCGTATTTTCCCCATGCATCAGCAGAGAAAGAAAGCTGAGACCCACACAAGACCCTGACAGCAGAAGCACTGTGTTCAAAGGGGAAGTTGTCTCCTATCAGCCTAGCTAGAGAAGCTGCACACAAAGGCTCCTTAACAACCACGGAGGAACTGCCAGACTCTGCTTGCCAGGTTCACTTCTGTCCCCTCCATTTCTGCAGTCTTCCCATTCCTGCCTGCTCTTTCCAACTGTACCTTTGTGGTAACTCCAAGCTGCCCAGGGACATAATGTGGAGACATCCGTGCGTGTAGACAAAGCTACATGCATCTGTACTCTCACGTACGGCTACTGCAAAACAAACCAGGAAAAGGGAGAGGAAGGGTGCATGATAGAACAGAGCAGCTGCCATCAGTGAAAAGCCATCGCCGCCTATAACCTCTAGCGATGTCTGTTGTGGCTCAGGTACTTATGATGTACATGCAAAAGAGAAATGCAACTTGAAAAACTTGGGAAGAATCCCAAGTCTGGAGGAAGAACAGTCAGGAGCAGCAGAACAAATTGTGGAAGAAAGAGAAACAATTTTTAATTTATTTTTCACACCAGCCATCAGACCCAGGTCAGACTCCAGACTGCAGCTGTAGGAGCTGCAAAAGCTCCTCTGTCAGTACTTTGTGGGCAATGTTTACTACATACGTTCTACTTGCCGCATCTCTCACCGCCTTCTGATCGCACAAGGATAAGCATCTGGAAGCACTGCTGCTGCTGGGAGCAGCTAAGGGCCTGATCTTCAGCCCTACAGCCATGCTTCCTGGCACATCACCCCTCACACATCACCTTCATCTCAACCCGCAAGGGAAGGCATGCTGCACTTTGCCCAACCATTCAGATATTTAAGTGGCCCAGTGACTGCCTTCTATTTGCTTGCCTCTTTGAGGGGAGGGGCAGCAATGAGCTGAACCTCAGGCTTCCAAACTGCTATACAAAGAGAACAAGCAGCTCCAAAATCTGCTTTTCCTCTCAGCTCACTGAAGAACAGCGTGGCCGAGGAGTCCCAGCAGAAGCCAATGTGCTGAGCCTTCAGAGGAGACATGAATGAGAGGTGACCAGGGGACGACCCAGCTTATGGGACTTAGGGGATGCCCAAATATACCCTCTCTCTTCATAGTTCTCTATGTTATCTAAGGATTCTAGAACATTATCTGGAACTCAAGCCAGCACATTTAGCAGTCAGATCATTTTAGTATTCAGCTCATTTTGGTCTTTGCCAATGTTCTAAAATCCACGTCGCTCAGGGAAAGAGTGCAATTTTTTCTTAAATTATCCCAAACTCTAGAAGGTAACATCTTCCTGATATTCTCTTTGCATAAAAGATGGTCAACAAATACACAGAACGCTGAATTTGTTCCCCACTGCCATCTTACAAGACTCTTCTGCAAGCAGCACACCAGAGCAGGGTTCCCCAAGATGAGAGCCAGGACAAAACCCTTCTGCAGCCCAGCTCTCAGCAGCAAAAGTGATCCAAAAAAAAAAAAAAAAAGAAGGAAGACATGCAACATAGAAGGTGGAAAGAGAGAGGGAGAATAAACCAGACAGCCCTGGAAAAATTTCTGATTATTTCTGTAGAACAATAAATAAAACCGGGAAGTTCTATGGCACAGAAAGTTCTGAATCTGCTTTGTAGACCTTCCAAGTACAGCAAAGATAACCAAGGACATGAACCTGGGTGGTAACAATGTCAATGACCGCATTCCAAAATCAGGGAGCACTTAGGTTAGCTCACTGATACATCAACATCACACTGCACCCTCGTCACGTCAGATGGGAAACGTGGAGCTGGAATTATTCACTGCTGCTGGAAGGGAAACCTCACCTCAATTCCAGCAGCGAGCAAAAGAAGTCCAACAGTGATCAACACCTGTCACTTTCCTAAGGCAGACAAAGCACCTGCCGTTCTCTTACCCCAGCAATGATCCTCCTGCACTTGGCTAACTTACCTTCTGCCGTTCCAAATGCCTCTGGAAACAGCAGCAGGATCCACACACGATTAAAAGCTAGCCTGCACTCAGCCATACTGCTCAGCTACCAAATGTTTGTTCTATAGTTACTGTTCAACATTTCCCTCTCTTTCACTGCTGCACTGACCGGATGCAAGGGTGGAAGCTTGCAAGAGCTGTAACTCAGCAGATCACTTTGTGAACCAAAACAGTTATTCCAAATGTTGTTAAGTTTGCCTCTGTAAACCTACAGCAATTCTGGTTCAATTCCAGCATCAATTCATTTACAAAGACACTTCTGAACACGGATCTAAATCAAACCCTGAAGTCAATAACACTGTTCAAGAGCTGAAACTCGAGACTGTCTCCTCTCAGTTCCTGCTGCCACTAAAAACAGATGCAGAATTCAGCTGGGATTTCTGCCTTTGCTTCCAACTACACATCACAACCCTGATTTAAAATTCTTTTTATCATCCTCTAAAAGAGTACGTAAACATTCAAGCCTAATGTGGGAGGGCGGGAATCCTGATAAATACACAAGCTGGTGATCCATAATCAAGGTGAAAAAAATATTCCACATGAAATTTATAAGCACTGATGACATCACCTTGATGGAAGGGACATCAACCATAAAACTAACCAACAAAGAAGGAAGCTTGTGCCCTATCCAGTATGCAGCTTTACGTGCCATCTAAGTCAATGGAGGTGACACACAACAAGGATTTCTGCATTTCGCATTTCCACTCGCTGGCACCTTTTTCATGGCAGTCTACAACAGCAGTGTTCAAAGTACTTATTTTGTATTCTGCTCAACAGTAAGGAATATTCAGCATCCCACAAGAAGTAAGAATTACGACAAACCACCTGCAGCTCTCAGTTCAGCTTCCTATCTCACTGCTCTTCCACACGAACTTACAGAGGTGGCACTGAATGAG